TTCGGTCAACCTTTTTACCGACGAGTTAGTGAAAATGTCATTTAAATTTTTAAAGATGCTTTTGCCAACGGATTGAGAAATCCCTCGGTAAAAATAATTTTTGGCGGCGGCTTATACGAAATTTGTCGGCAAAAGTGCATCTTTGCAGGTGGTATTTCCCTTCAGCAAAAAGTTAAACTTTTACCCAAGGCTTTCGTCTAAGTTGTCGACAAAAGTTACTTAAAAGTTACTTTTACCGACAGACTTCCCAAACCGGCAATAAAAGTGCAGTTTCTTGTAGGATGCTTAAAATGTCTAAGTTACCTAATAAAATATTTTATAGGGATTAATTTTATCGGTTGAAACCAAAAAACGTGTTATCTAAAAGTGTTACAATAGGGTTTACAGGAAGCTTTTAGACTTTTTAACAAATTTTTTAGGACGCTTTTGATAAAGGTCCTATAAACACAGGTTACTTATAATAAGATGATTTTACATGACACTTTTCAAAGTGTCCTATAAAAAGATGAGTTTATAGGACACTTCTCAAAAGTGTCATATACAATAGCTAATATGACATTTTATTTTTAAAAGCGTTCTAAAACACTTGTTAAAACACATAAAACATCATATAAACCTATTGTAACGTCTTTAAATTGGACGTGTTTGGTCTTATAAACTTAAGTTTTATAAAGTATTATATTAGGACGTTTATACAGTCTAGGCAACCTACAAAGCTAATTTTGTTGTTATACCAGTTCCCATACAAACTGTAACTTCCAGTTCCTACACCAACTGTAACTTCAATGAGTCCAGTCACTTTCCCTTTAATGTTTGTATTTAATATGGAATTTTATAGTTTTTAGTAAATTGACTGGTTGACAGTCTCTTAGTACGAACTTCAACTTGTAATCCTTTGCACGATCTTTTGTGATTCTCTCTCTTGTACTCAAACTATTAATTATGATCAATGACATGCAAACTTTCTTGATCCAATCTATCTTGTTCATATTTCAATGATTGAATCTAATCTACATTCTATAATAGAAAAGATCAGAATCTTTGGGAATTAACAATTGGTATCAGAGCACACAACCGCAAATTGAATAGGATTTTTGCGGCAGAATTCAAAATCTTGATTCGTTATGTGAAGATTATTGTTCTTGAAGAATTTTGATTCAGAGCTTGATCGCAGTTGATCAATTCACAATGAGTTCGTTTTAATTTTCAGATTGATTAGTTTCTTGATCAATTTTTCTTTGAATTTCTCAAATTCGGTTGGATTGATCGCTATTTTACTAATCTCAAGATGTCGAAGGAATATGTAAGCATTGGGTCTGAAACCAAACCCCCTGCTTTATTTTTGGTGAATGTGAATAGTGGAGAAACCGTACGATATAATTCTTGGACAATATTGATGAGGATTTAATGAAATATATCAATGATGGACCATTTGAAGTTTATATTGAAATCCCCACAGTTCCAAGAACAGATGATACTCCAGAGATTCGAGCATCTAGAATTACAAAAGATATTAAATTAATTGTAAACTGTTGAAGAAAAGAAAAGAGCATTAACTGTACTGACCATGGCACTACCTAATGAAATCATCATAACAGAGTTGATAGCTTAAAATTAGCTAAAGAGATGTGGGGATGAAGGAGAGGCTCATATGCAAGGAGGGCAGAAGGCACTACCAAACAAGCTCAATTCATGTGTTAGGTTCCTATGAAGGTTTTAAGTCCAAGGAATATGAATTGCTATTTGATACATATAGTAGATTCAATGGTGTGCTTAATGATTTAAGAAGAAATGGGGTTCACAAGACCAATTCCATTAAATTTCTAAACTACCTCATACCAGAATATCATAGTTTTTCAAAGAATCTTCAAATGATTAAGAATCTAACCAAGAAAACCATTTATAGGATTCTTAACCAACATGCGTAACTACTAACTACAATCATGTTCCTTTTGTTGTCGCGATATTGGATCAAAAACTTGCAAAGATGGTGAAAGAAACTTGATTTCATTGCTTTGACGTAATCGTTCTGGACAAAAGAAAGTGGCGTTGGGTTATGCAGATTGTAACGTGCATTATTGAATACGTCAAAGTGGTTGATATTCAATAATTGGACTAGAAACGACTTATCGAACACGTATTTTTTAACTTGTTGGTTTAAAAATATAGTAAAAGTCCATAGAATTTATTTGTTTTTTTATTATTGTTGGTAATGAAGAAAATATAAGATGGGTTTGTGTAATTAATTTGAAGTATTATATATGTTGTAATCATGTTATTTTTTTCTTGACAACTTTTTTATTTAAAGAAATTGTTGAAAAAGTGGTAGAATTGTTATTTAACCGTGTGAAATAACATATGGGTACAAATTGAAGTGTTGTTTCATAATGTGAAACGACACATGGATAAATATTATAGTTTTCTTTCACAATGTGAAACGACACAATGCAGTTAATGTAAAAAATGTATTGTTGTTTCATAGTATGAAATAACACATGAGTTTATCACTAAAGTCTGTTGTTTCAAATTGGGAAAGAACACAGTGTCATTTCACAATGAGAAACAATAATGTTTCATCATGTGAGACAAGACAACATCGTTGACGTAAAACACTAACATAAAATGCAAAGTGATGTTTCACGGCATGAATTAACAAAATGATACTAATGTCAAACAATACTAATGTGAAACAATATGGTGTTAATTCCATAATATGAAACAATACATTGATTAAACGTTTCATATAAAAATTGTAATAGATGAGTGTTGAGTTAGGGGTCGTTTACTAAACATTTACCTGGTAAGTATTTACTGGATGAATATGGCAAAAGTCAAAAAAATTACCCGGTAAGAGCAGTGATAAAGATGGAGAGTCTTACACGGTAAGTGAGGGTGACGACTCTTACCCGGGTAAAGTGTTTTCTAGGTAAATTGTTGCATACGTCCCATTTACAACTGTCATGCTAAAATTGACTTGCAATCCTTTTTAAACCATATATATGATGACTATTCAACGGATCTCACCCAAAGATACGGGGATGATCCCTTCATCTATCCCTTAGTTGATAAAGAGTTGTGGGAGCATACGGTTAGGGGAAGCAAGAAAGACCGTCTATTTGGGTTTGAGTACAACCAAGATCCCAATTGGGTCTTGACTGGGAACTACACAGAAGGTGGTTCATCGTCTTCAGATAATCGGGTATTTGTTTCTTTTCTATTGATGATGTTTATCGACTTAGTTTATAATTCATATAATATTATAACGTTTTATTTATTTTATAGAAAATTGAAGCCTTAACTTCCAAGATTATGGATTTAGAAGAAGAAAATCAGTGCCGACGGATGGTGGAGGAGCGACAAGAAAAACAAATTCAATATATGATTGCTTTAGTTAACCAACTCCGTCAATCACAACAATTCTCACCGCCACCGAATTGAATATCCTTTGTTTATTTGGAACAATTTAGTTTGTTTGTAACAATTGTTTAGTTTAACGTATGATATTTGGTTGCATTTCATCTTTTTAGTTTTTTCAATATTTTATAGATTTACAGGTTTTAAATATTTATTGTAACAATATTCTGAAACTAATATTTTAATTATAGTTCCGAGTAATATTTAAAAAATAAATAAATGTATTTATTATTTTTGGCGGATTTCCGACGGATATTTCCGCTGATAATATTTAAAAAAGTTTTTAAAAAAATAATTTTATTAAATTCGTTTTTCTAGTGAAAAATATTACCGACGGATTTCCGGCGGAAATTTCCTACAGTAAATTAAATCAATTTAAAAAAATCCTTAAATTTTTAATTAATTAAACCGGCGAATTGTTTCCGGCGGCCGGAATCCGCCGATAAACTCGTCGGTAAATTAATCACCGGCGCCAACTTTTCCGGCGGCCATATCTGTCGGTAATATATATTTCCGGCGAATATAATCGCCGGAAAAGTTCCTCTGTTTGATAGTGATATTGACTTTTAATAGCAAGTGCTTAGCAAGTAAACATTTTAGTAAATGACCCCTTAATGTTTGATCTGGTAATTGAAGTCAGGTCATGCTTATTATTTGTCATTTTCCCCTTTTTATACACACAACAAATGTGGATAATTTATAATAAGATGTAGTAGTTTAGCATACATATAAGGTTGTTGATATCAAAACCAACCATGGAACCTGCCTACCAAGGTTCATGAACCTAAAGCACCCACTCCCCCACCTCAAACAAAACATTCCTAGTCTCCATTTATATATATATATATATATATATATCATATTCTTTACTCAATTAATTAACATACTATTTGATGATGGAACCATGTAAATGTTCACTTTTGTCTTCCAATAAACATGGCATTCAAAACAAGTGGTAAGATGATGCCTAATGGGAATAGATATTAGGCATGTGTAAAAATCTTTTTTAAGATATGTTGGTACTCACCAATATTTTTATAGTGCGTGTCGTTTAATCTTACCGGTTAAGTATTATTGGTTGGTACATGGTATAAAATTTTACATACCAATTATAATTGGTTGATAGTCGTTATATGAAAAGCAAACATGGTACTATACCCTTAACTTTAATATAACATGATAAAAATCAAAATCATTTGATCTTTCAAGGTTTTGAAACCACAAAGGTGGTGTCTGATTGGTTTAATCTTGACTCCAAAGATCAAAAGTACCAGAAGATCTCAAGTTCGAATCTAAGGAGGAATAAAAATGTTTTTGTAGCCACGGAGGTTCAAATACGGTGACTTCGGACTATCTGCAAAACAGATGGTCGTTCTGGGATTAATCGGCTTGCATAGCGGATTGGATATCCAGATTAATAAAAAAAATAGGTTTTTATTTAGTTGTAAAAATTTATTGTAATTATAAATTTGTGGAGTTGATAACCATAACGTGTAAAAAAAAGGAGTTGTCATAGGAGCAGACAGATCTACACAGGGTTTGGATTCTATAAATACCAAATCATATCCAACCTCTTTCTTCCACACAGACTGCAACTCCATTTTATTCCTCCTCTGACTCAACAGTCAACACTGAAACTAAGAAACAGAACTATGCCTTCATCATCATCATCTTCTTCTTCTGGTTCAGTTGCTATAATCTCCAAATGCACAGTTTATCCAGCCAAAAACTCCATAACCAAATCCTTGAAGCTCTCGGTTTCTGATCTCCCCATGCTCTCTTGCCAATACATCCAAAAGGGTGTTTTGCTATCCCAACCTCCCATGCCTTTTAACCACCTCATTTCCCTCCTCAAACTCTCCCTCTCTAAAACCCTTTCCCACTTCTCCGCCATCGCCGGCCGCCTCTCCACCGACCCCCAAGGCCATGTCCACATCCTCTGCAACGATTCCGGGGTGGAATTCATCCATGCCACTGCAACCCACCATTTCACCGATCAAATTCTACTCCCCAATTGCGATGTTCACCCATGCTTTAAGACGTTCTTCGCCTTCGATAAAACGTTGAGTTACGCCGGACACCACCAACCCATCGCCGCCGTGCAAGTGACAGAGCTTGGCGATGGGGTTTTTATTGGGTGCACCGTCAATCACGCGGTGGTCGACGGAACGTCGTTCTGGAACTTTTTCAATACGTTTGCTGAGATCTCCAAGGGAGCCAAGAAAGTAACGAATTCACCGGACTTCAGCCGGGAAAATGTTTTTATTTCTCCCGTAGTCCTCCCGCTTCCCGCCGGTGGGCCTTCCGCGACGTTCTCCGGCGACGAACCGGTACGGGAGAGAATCATCCATTTTACCAGAGAAGCAATTTTGAAGATGAAATTCAGAGCGAATAATCAGATATGGAATCCCCAAAATTCGGATTCGAATGAATCAGAGATTTACGGGAAGGCAAGTAACGACGTTAACGGAAAGCTTAACGGCGCGTTAAAGCCCAAAAGCGAAATTTCGTCCTTCCAGTCCTTGAGTGCCCAACTATGGCGTGCCGTCACGCGCGCGCGTAAATTTCCAGAAACGAAAACGACAACATTCAGGATGGCGGTGAACTGCAGACACAGGATAGACCCTAAGGTGGACCCCCACTATTTTGGTAACTTGATCCAGAGCATCCCGACCGTTGCTTCCGTTGCGGACCTGCTGTCACATGATTTGTCGTGGGCAGCCAATCAGCTCCACCAGAATGTAGTGGCGCATGATAACGCTATTGTGCGCCGGGGTGTGAAGGATTGGGAAAGCAATCCGAAACTATTTCCATTGGGGAATTTTGATGGTGCGATGATCACCATGGGTAGCTCTCCTAGGTTCCCGATGTATAACAATGATTTCGGGTGGGGACGGCCGTTGGCGGTTCGCAGCGGCAAGGCGAATAAATTCGATGGTAAGATTTCGGCATTTCCGGGAAGGGATGGTGACGGCAGTATTGATCTTGAGGTGGTTTTGGCTCCCGAAACCATGGCCGCTCTTGAACATGACCAAGAATTTATGCAATACGTGTCCTAAAGGTTGTTTTCTTTAATGGATTCCATCATACATTTTGTTGTCGATTGATTTCTCTAGCATATTGTTGTATAAATATTTGAAATAATAACGATTACAAACGAGTGATTGAATTTTGTTAGTACTCGAACTTGGTTTTTCTATGATCAGAACTGTAAATTAAATGAGAACGTCAAGAACCGCTAATCGTTTGTTGTTTCGCATTGTGAAACAGTACATGTGAATGTACAGTATTCTTCCACAGCATGAAACGAAAAAACATATTTTAAAACAACACTTTATTTTCATAAGCATTGTTTCAGAACATAAACATCATATGGTTATCGGTTCTCAACCTATTCATAATTCTCATGTATCTATATAGGGGCTTGTTCTTTTGTTAACCAAGTCATTGATGTTAACTTTGTTAACCCATCATATCCTTCAAAAATTTTGATCTACGGTTGAAAAGACACAATGGCATCCTTGTAATATAATGGAAACATATGCGTTATAGACTAGTGTGAAGTTAGGTGAACAAGGGCATTTTTGGAAAATTAAAATAACATCTATCATACCCAAAGTTCAGTTCCAATAATTTCTCCCTTGGTGTTCCATAACGAAAATTATATCATCTCTTTCAAGTTTGTCAATTAATATGTTCATATCCTCAATCGTGTGTTCATAATGACATTAATATGTTTATAAGAAAAATTAGTTGTTCATAAGTGAAGAATAATAGCATAATCATGTGTTCATAGGTGAAACATTAAATGTGCTCATATATGAAATGGAAGTTATTGAAACAGTAATTTTGTTCACAGTTGAAATAGTGAATGCGTTCATAAATAAAAATGATGTTTCTGAAATCCAATAGATTACTAAACATGTTCGTAAATTACATTACAAATTACTAAACATGTTCGTAAATTACATTACAAACTTTCATATTTAATGGACTGTTACATCATAAAAATATTGCTAAAATCATGGAATTTTGTAACCTTCATTTAAATGCCTTAAAGTAAAACAAGAAAATAAAATAAAATTACTGAATCGTTCTTGACAATAAATACAATGTGATTTATGAATCGTGACATTAGATGGATTCCTATTGGTCCAGAGAGTTAATATAGTTAACACAAATAAATTGGTTAACAAAAGATCTTACCTCTATATATATATATATATATACACACATATATATAGGGTATATTTCTTTTACAACCTTGTGCATTTGTACAACCTTTGCAACCCAATTAATTGAGATATTTATAGAAATGATTGGAGT